ACTGGATGGTCCTGGCCACCTGTTCTTACTGTCAGCACCAGCTTCCTCGGCACTGCCCTATCTGGTCTTCTTTCCATCCTTCCTTCCGTCCCTATTATGAATAAGACTAATGAGAAAGAAAAAGAGAAAGTGAATGAGAAACCAAATTAAAAAAACAAAACAAAACAGAGAAGTGTAGAAATAAGAAAGAAAACTGTAAGAGGAAAATAAAGAGGTCTTCATAGTTTGGAGGATTAGAAACTAAACCAAACAGCTCCACTTCATTTCCTGAGCTGTAATTTCAGGATAGACAATGTTCCACCCCTAAGGACAATTGAGAAGCTTCAGAGGGTGACCATAAATTCCCAAAGAAAAGTGACTTGTGGATCCAGCCATTCTGATCTGCTGCTGTACTTTTTAGCCTCTGCACTATCCACACAATGACACGTCTTATTGAGTAATATGTGGTATTCCGCATCATGAGACTATTATGCAGAATTTCCTCTTTTAGAGCTCAATATTCCAATCAAAGCCTGTTGCATCACATCATTGAGGCCATCCACTTAATGACAAGTTGTAAGATGCATATTGCAGAATATTCATGTTCATTTTATGCTCACAGTGCTTGAAATCTCCTCTAAACAGCCTCTGCTCTCAGCCTATTAAGGTGCCCGTGTTATCTACACTCCATTCAATGGTGTGGAAATAATTGTCTTGAGACTAAAGAAAAAATTGATGGTCACAAGCCGAGTCAGCACTTGTGTTCTTTTCTTACTCTGTTGAATCAGGTGTTATTTACCTCTTCTAACACCTGGGACTCCTGATAAGTCACTCCCCTGGTAGCTTTTTCCAGGACAGTGCTATGGGGTCTTTGGAAGAAGTAGGGATCCTTCATAAAGCGTATTGTTATCAGCATAATTCACACAGCTACAGATGTGCAAAATCGAAACCACCAAGGGCATTCAGGCAAAGGGGGCTTCCTCAGCTCCATCTGGCCACTCTGACAAGTGCTCATGAGTCGGAGAAGGTATCACAGAAAAAAAGGGCTCCACTCAACACAACGGCCCATGCACCTGTGAGAAGATGCTTATATTCCGACAAAGTTGGGGTCGTTTTTGGTTTCCCCCCATCTGCTATCCCAGCATTTCCACCCCCAGTCCTCCTCCCTAGAAACCTGGCTCTAGTAAAAAGACCTTGCTGTGAGGGACAGGTGGGCCCTTTTCTTCATTTCCTCCCCTTCCTCTTATCTCTGGGATGAAGCACCAGGACACGGGCCCAGGCCAGTGGAAGACAGCAATTGCCCCTGGCAGCTGATAGTTCAGCAATGCGGCCTGTGACTTCGCCTTTAAATATCAACCACACACACAGACAACACCCTGGCAGCCTGAGAGGTTTCCATGGTGACAGAATGCAGGCCATGACCTCTGTAAATGTAATCAGAGTACTGGGATTGGTGTGCAAGACAGGTTTAATTTCTCCTCCGGTGGAAGCTCTGTGGTCCGGGCCCTGTGTAGACTTCATACGTTGACAGACAACCTGTTATCTTCGCCAGGGCAGCTCTGCATATGGCAATCCCTTCTGCCCCAGAGCGTCTTCCTCCACTGTCTGAGCAGCTTGCAGGATGTAAAAGGTCACTGGGGACTGGGTTGGCAGTCATATCAATACCTGGCATCCCTGCCCAGCATCCTCAGGAAGTGGAGCTGTCCCTCATTCGAGGAGCAGCTGAAGACTGGCTGAGGTTTTCATCCTGCTCTGCCCCCAACAGTGTGATCCTGGACAAGTCATTTAACCTCCAACTTTCAACATCTTCACCCCAGGGAGAAAATACACAGGGAGGAAAGGCTGAGAGCTTCCAAAGTCCCCAGGAGAAGATGGTACCCAATAATGCTTCATGGGGGGATCCTGCCACCCCCAGTGGAGTCCTGCCCCAGAAGTGAGCTTCCCACCTCACCAGTGCTAGTCACTAGTGTCAACACTGCCAGTGGAGACTGGAGGGCTTGCTACTGGAGGGCCACAGCAGGACTTCCTCACCTCTATCCTGATTTGGAAACAAAACCAGGATGCAATTTTTCCTAAGCCAGCCCAGAGTAGGAGAGTAGAGTTTTGCACTAAACTAAAAGGAAACAGAGGCTCAGAGAGAAATGTAGGAACATCAGAGGATCCCACAGCCTCTTTCCTTAAACTCTGCTCAACCTCAGCAACAAGCTTCTTTGGCCAATTGGATGTTGGCATCCTCTGACTCCATTTCTGATTTACGTGAGACATCAGTGACTTCAGTAGGCAGTCATCCTACTTCTCTGACTCTTTCACTCTTCTGGTACAATGCTCTAAAAAAAATAAAAACAAGGTTTGGGCTAAGAAGAGATTCATGGGGCTGCATGAAACATTTTTCTTCCCAGAGGGAGCTAGTCCATAAGATTCTTCTTTCAGAATCTCAACGAAGAATTTCAGAGTTTCAGAGCTGGAAATCCCATGACCTATAGGGGAAAAGCCGAGGCCTAGGCCAGATGTACCGGAGTTACAGCAAATTAACGGCAGAACCACAAGAACGTCAGGGCCTCGCTCTGCTCTGCTGAGGACTAATTTACCTCCTCGGTGCTTTTGAACCTCAAAATAAAATAGAAGGGAAGTAGGGGGAGGATTCAAAAGTGGTGGTTGAACATTAGAGGCAGGAAGTGGTGATCTGGCTGAATCTACAGATAATAACTTTATCACTTCCTGTGTCAGCTGATTCCAAAGAAGGGAAGATTCTCAAGAAGAAAATAGTTAAGTGACAAGACTGTGCGCTTCCACACAATTGTCCCCATCCTGGCCACACTCTTTCTCTCAGGCCATTGAGGAGAGCCAGAACCTGATTGTTCAGGGTTTTATTGGTTGGTGTCCAACACAGAATGATGAAATCAAAGAGTAATGGAGTTTACAGGAATCCCAAGAGAACATCTGGCCTAGCATTATGTCTTCTGGTTGCTGAGTAACTAAACCATCTAGGACAGGTAATTTAATTGTCTTTTCTTTTTATTAAAGGACCCAGTTCCTCAACTATAAATGAGGAAATAAGGTTTTTTCCAGCTTTAACATGCCAGAATTCCATCTCAAAAAGTGGAGGCTTCCCAGTCTTTTCCAGTATCCCTTCACAGCATTTAATTACAGAAGTGGTAACACACATCTTGTAAGTAGCACATTTCCCTGGCACCAAGCGTAGCATCATCAGACTGGCAAACATAAAGGTCTGTCCAACATGCAGGGGTTACTACGGACTCCAGGCCAGGATAGGCAAGTGCAGCAAAGTTCCTTCAGGAAGAAGGAGAAGGCAACCAGTTACGTTTTATTCATGTTAGTCCAAGTTGCTAATACTCCGGTAGGCCATAGGGCAGGCTGTCACTGGCCCAATCTAAGTCAGTTGTGGCCATGGTGGATGGTGTACAAAAGCCAATGTGTGGAATAGGGGAGAGGCAATTCTTAGACAACATACACTGCTATTTCTAGAGGAAGTAGGTAGATTTGCTGAACAGAAAAGCAATCTACCCATCTTACCCTCTATTCTTCAGATCTACATGTATATTCCTGAATTCCTATAGGAAAGGTTCAAATTCTTTGCCCATGAAAATCAGGGGTGTGGTTAGATAGGGCATCTAGCTCTTCACTCCACTGACTGGCCTTAGCTCCAGCCTGACTATGCTATGCCCAGTGTTGCATTTTTAATATCAAATGTATAAAGTGGACTCAAATTCCACAGAGATAAAAACTTGCCCCCTTCTTGGCCAGGCCTCTCCCTCCTTCCATCTTCCCTAGGCCAGTAAATGGAACCATGGATAATCTAACTGCCCAGTCTGGAAACCTGGGGGATCATCTCAATTCTTTTTTTTTCTCTCTGCCAAGTCTACCTATCTTTCAAAAGATCTGCTTCTTTCCAGTCCGCTGCCACCATAATCCTAATCCAAGCTACCATCAACTCCCATCTTTAGTCCTCTAGTTATATGCCCCACCAACCCATTTAAAACCCCATAGTTAGTGATCTTTTTTTTAATCTACTCATATCCCTTCCCTAATTAAAACTTTAGTTGCTTCCGGATATTACACTTCCTAACTCCTCACTATGGCTAACAAGCCTCCACCCTCACCGCCTGCTTATCTCCCCAGCCTCATCTCCCAAATAGTCCCATTACTCTCTGTCATTTTCAGTAACAGAATGTTTTCAGAATGTTTCTCAAAGAAGCCACATTCTCACTTCCATTTTTTCGCATATGCTGTTCCCTCCATCTGCAACACTCTTTCCCTTCCCCTTCACAAAACTAATCCCTATTGATACTTCAAATCCCAACTTCATTTCCTCTGGTAACCAGCCTTAGCTCCCCAGGCTGGGTTATGTTTCCCTCTTGTACATTTATGTAGCATTTGGCACTCACCATTCAAAACTCACGTCTAGCCTATAATTGCTTGTCTACCTACTACCTGTCTTCTCCTCCCAACAGTAAGCTCCCAGAGGGTCTAGATCTTTCCTGTCTTGTTCCCTATGGTATTACCAGCACGTACTATGCCTGGTTTATAGTAGGTCCTCAATAAATGCATATTGAGTAAGTGCTGCAAGTTAAATCTGTTATTTTTTTAAAAATATGCTTTTTATTTTGAAATAATTTCAAACTTATAGAAAAGTTACCATAGTACCTAGAACTCCTGTATACCATTCACTTAAATTCATCAATCATTAACTTTTGCCACATTTATTTTTATTATTTTCTGTATATAAATTTGCATTTTTTTTCCCTGAACCCTCTGAGAGTAAATCACAGACATCATGGTCCTTTTCCCTAAAGACTTCAGTTGTATTTCCTAAGAACAAGGACGTTCCCTTAAAAATAATACCCAGTACAGTTATCAAAATGAGGAAAGTTAGCAAAGATACATGAGCGCTAATTCAAATGTATGTTGTCATTTTCAGAAAAGTAGAAAGTACTAGGGAAGGGTGGCAGTCTGGGATTAAGTGCAGGCATTCATAAGGTCACCTCTGTCTCCCTCTCTACCTTTGTTCAGATGCTTCCTCAAAAACTGCAGCTGTGGTTTGGAAGGCAGTGCCAAGCCGGTTGTGTCTGGTGTCCCCACGTGCCCCGCTGGCACCAGTGCTCTCTCTGCTCCCGTGTGCATATCTCGCCTCACCCACGGTCCTCTCTTGGGAGGCTGGGAGCCTCCTGAGCAGAATGGCTTTGTTTCACAAGGTCCCAGAGAAAGGATGAAGCCCAGTCCACCGGAAGTGAAAGTTGAGGAGAAAGGCTAGGGACAGGAAGTGGGAAGACGGCGCCTGGGACCCACAGTCATGCACCGGCAGCTCAGCGCTTCCGAGAAGGGCGGAAGACGAGCCGAGCCGTAGGGGCAGTAAGATTTGCACACCTTGGGTCCTGGGACCATCCTGCTCAGCTGAGTGGAATACCAAACGAGGGTGTCTGGGAGCCGCACTTCACCTCAGCCAGGCAATCGACAGGAGAAGCAGCGAGCGAGACCGACAGACTGTCACTGGCAAAATGAACTGTCACCTCCCATTTTTCAGAGGCACGGCGGGATGAATTGCAGCCTTGAACCGTGCGGCCCGCTTCTGATTGAGTTCCGCTGTCTTAGAACCCCGTCGAACAAGGCGAGTTCATTTCAGACTGACGTCCCACCGCTTATCAATTTAGGAGCCAGTAAAATTAACCGCTTCGGAGCTGATTTTCTCCCTCCCCTTGCTTGGATTTCGCATTCGGAAAGGTCACCAAATAAATCTCTCTGGGTCTTGCTAGCATAATAACGCAGCTTGGGGACCGGGGTCTCAGACGAGGAGGCTGAACCAAACATAGCCTAGGCCCCAAAGTTTGCTGAGACCCCCTCACCGGGCTCATGGCAGTGGTGTGTGACAAGCCAGGCTTTTGCTAACGCTGCTCTGCCCACATCAGCAGCATCTGCTCCCAAGAGATGCTATATGGCTGTGTAGGGTTGAGTGGCTGAGAATGGAGATGCTACAAAAGGCCCCTACTCTTTCTGCAGAGGTCACTGTGTATTGTTTAGCTTCACCTAACACATAGTATGTGCCCAACAGATGTCTATTAAACCAAATAAGACCTTAAGACCTTTTTCTTCTTAGAGACAGCCGGGGTACAGTGGAGGAATCGTAGCTCACTGTAGCTCAAGTGATCCTCTCACCTTAGCTTCCTAAGTAGCTACAACTACAGGTCCATAGCATCATGCCCAGCTAAATATTTTATTTTTTGTAGAGATGGGATCTCCCTATGTTGCCCAGGCTGGTCCCAAACTCCTGGCCACAAGCAATCCTCCTAACTCAGCCTCCAAAAGTGCTGGGATTATAGGCATAAGCCACCACGCCCAGTCCCAAATAAGACTTAATATTTGCTTTAGCATCAATGATTAGTTTGAAAAGTTTGAACAAGTTAGCATGGCAGGGCCTTGGTGGGAGGGAAAGGAAAAACGGATGTTTGTCCTGTGATATGTTTACTGTCACGAGCCACTCATGGGGCCCAGTCCATGCTAGAAACTCTCTGGCAAGTTGAAAGGCAGTCCCTTGGAGCAGAGCAGGAAGCTCACCAGAACAGTTGCCATCTCCAGAACAAAAAATGCCTTGTGCCTCCCCTCAGCACACACACTTACATCCCCCTCTTCTGCTCATAAAATCCTGTCCAGTGGGTCTAATTAGCACAGCTCAGGGCTTCTCCTCTCTTCTGCATCTGGGGCACAAATGGTTTTTCAAGATTGTTTTGTACCTCTTCTCACCATGCAGACTGTAGCAGTGTTTGTTTCTGGAGCTACAACTGAACTGCTGTCAGTGATTTTAAGGTTTGGACTCTCAGACACTGTCAATCTGGTAGTATCCACTTCTCACCAAAGTCATCCTATCTCAGAGGGACAGGGGACATCTTGTCCCTTTGGGAGACTGTGCAGGAAAGAAAGACTTGTGAAGATGGCTTCAGGCAGACAAGCTGGTGCTCTCTCCAGCAAGACATCAGGGTGAAGCCAGGTGGTGTTTTGATCCAACTAATATCTACCAACAGCCCAAGTTCGTGGTCTCTGCTGCCCAAAGGGAATGTATTCACTTTCCTGTTCTCATAAGAATAGTTTATTTTTGTTTTCATTGTGGGCTTCTAACTCTATACCTGGAGTGAGAAGACCTAATTTTCAAATCTGGCTCTATCCTCCCTACCTGTAGGACTTAAGCAAACTACTAAATTATCTAAGCCTCATTTTCCCCATCTATAAACCTATACAGTTGTTTAAAATTCCAAATGACTTTGTGTAGGTGAAAACTTTAATAAACTACAATGTTATGTATAGATACTGGAGTTTATTCATTTTAGTCTCAGCAACAAAAGAAAAATAGAAGAATGAATGTGATAAAGTATCTCAGAATTGATCCAGCAATCCCACTTCTAGGAGTCCACCCCACAAAAATGCTCTCATATGTGCAAAAGGATGTATGTGTGAGGAGTTTCACTGCAGGTTTTTGAAAATCCGGAGATAACCTACATGTTGTCAATAATGAGTTGGGTAGATAAGTTATGATGCTATATATACTATGCAACACTGTGCATTAGTTAAAAAGGAATAGGATAGAGTAAATTTAAAACTCTTATGGTTGTTACAAGAGTTATAAGAGCATGAATCTCAACTTACAGAAATTAACAGATGTGGTTATCATGTCATTAAATACTTGAATGTTCATTTAGATAGTCAAGAGTAACCATAGAAAAATATGTCCAGCTAAACCTTAGGGAAATAGTCAAACCAATAACAAAATGGGATCATCTTCCATGTAATCGTTGCATTTCCACTTACTATATCATGGACATCTCTTCATGTTAGTGTTTCTTAATTTTTTATTATTAAAAAAATTACACGTAATAAAACATAGGCCATGGATTATAAAGATAGTTCTCTGGCTTAACTATTGAGAAAAGAAAGGAGATTGATAGGTAGTTGAAGTGTGTTCTCAGGAATACAAATCTGTAATATTCTAGCAGCATAAGGGCAGCCTCCTATTATAAGCTGCAATAGCCCTAAACCAGGAAACAGGCATCCAAGACGTTTGTCCCAGCTCTACCATTAACTCACGACGTGACATCAACCAAATCACTTTTCTGGGCCCCAGTTTCCCGCAACCAGAAAATGAGAGTGTTAAAGTATGTGTTCTCCAAGGGCCCTTCAAGCTGAAAATTCTATAGTTCTGTGAAATCACTTTTGAAAGATTCAGTATAGGATGTTTATATATAATTATAGTCTCTGGTCATTGCTGGCACTAATAGGAAGATTTTAACAAGGCCTTAAATACTTACATACAGAGAAAATACACTAAGAATTTTTTTTATTTAAAATGTGCCTGCCCTCAAGGAACCTATAATTTGAAAAAGAAAATAAGACAATTGAATCTATAGAAATACAGGAGTACCAAGTTTTACAAAAGGATTATGCAAAATGAGATTGTTGAGTGAGATCGGTGGAATTCAAATTTATGTTGCTAGAAGCCCTAGGCTGGGTTCCTGAGAGGGCTTCTGAAGCTGTTTCAGGGACAGGGAATGAGGGCAAAGGAGCAAGTGCTGCCTTCCTCCCCATCCTGGTTCAAGGAGCAAAGTTCTGCTTTCATCTGCATCATGCATCTAAGAAATCTAAGAATCTTCGCCAAGGCAGCTGAGGCGAGAGGATCACTTGAGCCCAGGAGTTCCAGGCTGCGGTGAGCTGTGATCACACCACTGCACTCCAGCCTAGGCAACAGAGCGAGACTCTGTCTCTTAAAAAAGAAAAAGAAAGAAAGAAAGAAATAGGGTTGCTACCATAAAAATTTGAAAACCACTGGCCCAAATGATTACTAACACAAGTTCCATCTTTAAGGTTTCACAATTCTATGGTTTTAAGATGTATATAAAATATAATTTTTATATTTTGCATTCAGTTTTGCAGGTACATAGGAAATTAACTATGTACAGATTAATTTTCCTTTAAAACAGATAATCATCTTGTAATATGAATAATAAACCCTAGATGTATATGTTCAACACATTCAGGTTTTCCTGTCCTGAATTTTCTGAATGGAAGGCATGGTCATAATTATGGTAGAACTGGATAAAAATATGAGGCAGACAAAGGGGTTATAGAAAAGATATGCCTGGCACACCATGAAGTGGCTGTTGGTTTCATCAATGAGGTAAAAGGTACTGAACTAGAACTAAAATTACTGGGCTCTACCATTGAATTAGGTAATTTCTGTTTCACAGAACACATCTCAGAGGATACATGGTGATTGCCGTCGTTACTAAGTGCTCTCCGGGCATTACTTCATTTAATCCTCCCAACTCCATAGACAGGTATTATTTCCTCCCTCATTTTACAGATAAGAAAACTGGAACCAGGAAATGGTAAGTACTTTGTCCCAAGGTCACAGAGCCAGGGTTTGAACGCAGGGAGTGTGACAGCAAAGCCCATGCTCTCAGCCACCACAAGTTTTGCCCCCTGTCACTACTGGTGAGCTTCAGATGCTTGGTAGGCAGATTGCCCTCCAAAGGTTGAAGAATTCAAATGGCACTCTGCCTCCACTGCCTCTATAAAATTATTTTGCCTCATTATCCAATCACAAAGAAGGGTTTTCACTTCCCTTACCAAGGCTGGCCCTAGATAAAAATTATGAGGTAGCTGCAGTGTGTTCATCCTCCCTCCCCACCTCCTCTGTTAGCACTCCTTCTTCATACCAGGAAGGAAAGCAATACTGTCTCCATGAAATTTGTTCTGATTCCTCCAGGAAGAATTGACCACTCCTTCTTTTGTGCACACACTGAAGATGTATACGTGTGCCTATGTGTGTTTAATACTTTCTTGACCATTTTACATTAGATCCTCCCCCTCTCCAATTAGATCACATTCCCCAGGAACCATGACAAATTTTTATTCATTCTCTGTATCTACAACACCTAACATAGTGCCCAGAATATAATGGAGGCATAATAATTTGAATGAATGAATGAAGCACACTCATGCTAACTGCAAGGTTCCCAGTGTGGCCCTCTGTACCACCTCACCTCATCTTGCCCTCCTTGGGAACCATTTATCCTCTCAAACTGTCAGCCCTAGGCTCCCCTTCTACCTCCAGATCTGCTCTCTGTCCTCCCCTCCAAACTGATAACCAGTTAGCTAACCTCATGTGCAATAAGTGCTAATGAGGTTAGCTGAGGTTAATATATTAATGT